TTAATCTGGTGTTTGTCATTTATCATTTTATGTAATGTGCATTAGAAATGGTTTTTAAAACTTTTTTTAAGGCTTAATTTTCTTCAAATTTTTTGGTATTCATTGACACTTGAGTAATCACCATTTTTTACAAATAAGCTGCAGATTATTTCATTTAGAAAAACTAAGGTAATACTTGCTTGTTTGTAAGATGGCCAGGGACTTAGTTGGCAAGAAACCAAATCCTCTTAAGACCTGATCTGAAAAATGGTTTCTAATGCTTGTCAACTTTAATCAGTCTGCTGGTGGTAAACACAATGTACTAGGATAAATTGCATTTCATTGAGTGTAGGTGTCAGATTTGGAGAAATAATTTCGTAGTAATTAATTTTAAAATCTTAAAATCCACAGAAAAATCAATATAGTAAAATTTATTTTTCACTTAGTGAAAAAAAAAACATTTTTTAGAAAAAATGTAATTTGGAGAAAAATGGTTTTGTCAGTGCCAAAGTGCTACTAGGTACATCAAGATAAACATTATTTTTTTTTTGCCTTTGCAGAATTTTGTGGAAGAAGAATGAAGTGGCAGACTATGAAGCAACAACCTTCTCTATCTTTTACAATAATACTCTCTTCCTCGTCATAATAATTGTTGCTTCCTTTTTTGTGTTGAAGAACTTCAACCCCACCGTGTATCCTCTTTTAACAAAACATAGGTCATATAACTTTTTGTGAATCATTTGTAGAAATAAAGGGTTTTGAACTAGTAATCTATATAATTCAGATATGGGAAGGAATGAGTAAGTTGTAATTACCAGGCTAAGCTTCACTCTGTCAAAAAGGCAAAAGAAAAATCTCTATAGTTTACCAATGGACTCCTACAGTGAGTCTGGAGTCAGTGTCATTGGCCAAAACAATTTTTAGAATAGAATAGAATTCTTTATTGGCCAAATGTGGTTGGACACATAAGGAATTTGTCAGTGCAAATACTCTCAGTATACATAAAAGAAAATATACATTTGTCAAGAATCATAAGGTACAACACTTAATGATATAGCCGTAGGGTACAATAAGCAATCAAATCATACTAGGAAACAGTCAATATAAATCATAAGGATACAAGCGACAAAGTTACAGTCATAGAATCACAAGTGGGAGGGGTTGGGTGATAAGGAGTGATGAGAAGATTAACAGTAATAGTAGTGCAGACTTTGTAATAGTTGAACAGTTTTGAGGGAATTATTTGTTTAGCAGAGTGAGGTGTTTGGGAAAAAACTGTCCTTGTGTCTAGTTCTGGTGTGCAGTGTTCTATAGTGTCATTTTGAGGGAAGGTGTTGAAACAGTTTATGTCCGGGATGTGAGGGGTCTGAAATATTTTCACAACTCTCTTTTTGACTCGTGCAGTATACAGGTCCTTGATTGAAGGCAGGTTGGTAGTAATTGTTTTTTATGCAGTCTGTGTCTGTCCTGTTGGGTTGCAGAACCAAACCAGACAGCGATAGAGGTGCAGATAACAGACTCAATAATTCCTCTGTAGAACTGTATCAGCAGCTCCTTGGGCAGTTTGAGCTTTCTGAGTTGGTGCAGAAAGAACATTCTACATTGTGCTTTTTTGATGATGTTTTTAATGTTAGGTTTTCTCAACTGTGTAGCTCTTTAAAGCACATGTAGAGAGCACTGAAGTATTACTTTGTTAGAATTAGAAGCACCACTTCTAATTCTCCCCATTACACTCGTAAGTTGTTACCAACCTTATGATTTTTTTTTGCAGCATCAATTAAGTGGAAAGAGGAATTAGAAGGAAGGAATGTTTACTGAAGTCTAAAAACGAACAGAATTGGGTCTGATAGTTATAACTCTAAACAATATTCAAAATTATCCTAATAGGTTAAAGCAATTGGCTAAAAAATAAAATAATGGAATTTAACAATGTCAAGTTCTAAAGTGAGGAGACTAAAATAAAAGAATAGCTATACGATTTTAAGTTGCAGGAAGAGTCCTGGAATTAATTACCCATAAGGGTGGTGAGCAGACTTTCATTGGAAGTTTTCAAGCACATACTGGGCAGCAATTCCTTGTGTGTTCATTTTGATTCCTGTGCAAGGCAGAAGATTGAATTCAGTGTCCTACATGAGTGTTTCTTTGATGAGGTGCCATCTCATTGCCAAAAGGGAATTGATAGTTCCCAAGTGCCTTGATCTTTTGCATTTTGATATCGGATAGCAGAATTCAAATATTTATATGTACTTGGGAGTTGTGTGTTGCACAATTCCTTTGTAAGACATTTATTTGTAAGAAATTATGGGAGATATGTTCTATCTTGCTAAAATTTTCCTTGACAACTGCTTTTTCAGGAATTACATCCTCTCCATCAGTGCTTCATCTGGACTGATTGCTTTATTATCTACAGGCTCAAAGTAGATAGAATTATTTGAGTACATGAATTCATCTCTGTCTTGCCCAATCAGAAGAAGGTGGATTTGCCATTTTCTATACATTCATCTTTTTCATTTTTTTGTGATTAGATTGGGGAGCAGTTTTGTTATAAAATTATACAATGAAGATGAGGCATTCTAATTTAGGCGTGCAATGTGCTTATTCAAAAAAAACTTCTGACCATTTGGGAGGGCATAGAGATACAGCTGTATCATCCGAGAAGTTCATCAAATAAATCTGGAATTCTTGATTAGAAGTTTTTTGGGGTTTTGTTACATTGTTATTAAAAAAAAGCTTTGCTGAAACAGTGATTGTATGCATAACTTTGTGATAAAGGCAATTCTAGACTTAAATTCTGGTACCAGAATTTCCATTGCTAAGCAAGGCAGTTATTAAATGATTTGTGCCCAATTTGATAACCTGGGTATGTTTTTCTCAAGGGTCCAGGCTTGGGCCTGCTTTACAAGACAGCCGTGGCCTAGTCTCCAGCTCTGCTTGTGTGGTTTGGGACCTGATTACTTGCCCACTTTCACTCCAAGCAAAATCTGCCTGCTCAAGGGACACCAGAAGGACCTCCCATTTCTCAAAGAGGCGACTTTGAGCTATGCATTCTCTTGCCATAGCTAGCCAACTATGAAGGCGAGAGTAAGCTATGCCAGAAATAAGATCTCTAACCTCATTTTTAATATTTTGAAACCTTGTTAAGATCTGGCTGTTTTGAAGTATTTGGTGTGTGTGTTGAACAGTGAGGGGAGACGCTATTGGGACGTGCAGTGGCAGTCATTAGTATTACTGATTATTACTAAGTATTAAGAGCCATGGTGGCACAGTGGTTAAGAGTGCAGTATTGCAAGCTACTTCTGTTGACTGCTAGCTGCCTGCAGTTTGGCAGTTTGAATTTCACAAGGCTCAAGGTTGATTCAGCCTTCCCTCCTTCTGAGGTGGGGGCAATATGCTGACTCTATAAACTGCTTAGAGAGGACTGTAAAGCACTGAAGCGGTATATAAATGCTATTGCTATTACTAGTTATTAAACATTCATATTATTGATATTATATACATTAGCTTTTGCAGAACATCAATTCTACCAATTGAAGTAGCATGAAAATATATTAAATCTTCAGATTTGTAGAAATCTGCTAAAAATATTAGTTTGCTACAGGCATAAAGCTGTTTGCCATGTATCTGAGCATGACAGGTATGCATTTAGATCCAAAGTGGGCACTCTCTGTTGGCTCCTCCTCAAAGAAGCCAATTATTTTTCTAGGTTTGTACGGTAGCTGCACAGCTACAGTAGCTACATTCTTAAGGAAGAGTTGAGGAGGTGGGAACACATGCTGGAAGTTGCTTGTGCTGGGTGTAAAGCACCTTTGCCTGTTTCAGTCCAATACAACATAAATGTTGTGTACATTATCTCGAGAACTTACCAGTGAATACATTCTTATTATGAAGAAGCACATAATTTTAAATTAGCATCCTGTGGCTCTTGGAGAAATAGTTTGGCTTTATTTTGCAACACACTTTCTTAGCCCTGGTGGTGTAGTGGTTAGAATGGCTAATTCTGCCACAGCCTGGAGTTCAATCCTGATGGGTTCAAGATTGACTCAGGGTTCGATCCTTCCAAGGTCGATAATATGAGGACCCAGATTGTTGGAGGCAATATGCTGACATTGCAAACTGACCAGAAAGTGTTATAAAGCATTATGGGGCAGTATATAAGTGTTAAGTGCCATTGCTATTGTTACATGGAAAAAACTAGAACTAAAAACAGCATTGAAGCAACACTTAATCCTTAGAATGTTTCTTTTCCTGCTCAAAAATCAATACATCCAGTCATATATTTGGGGCACAAAATGCCTTTATTGTGTCCAAGCTAAAGTAGAAAGCAATTCCTGGTATACAGCAATTGAATTCATTTACATAGAATACTGAAGGAAATAGAAATATTAAAAAGGGTGGATCTATACTTTAAAATCCCAAGAGCTTGCTTTACTCACAGGATTTCCATATGAAATTTCAAGCGAGGAACATGCTGGATGTAGAGATTATGTCTTAGAAACCTCAGAACAATATGTGCAGGTGTTCCTTACCCCAATCCATCACAGAAGTGTCTTTTCATTTTAGGAGCTCGACATACCTTGGCTAAAGAACATCATTAGAGCCTACTGTGTCCACTGAAGTGACAGACAATGCTATTCTAGGTTGGAAAAAGATATAATAAATTTCTGCCACCTGGACCACACGAGTGCTGTTGGATAAATGCACAAAACCATGTTACAAAGGGTAACTGGAAGCCTTTGATTTACATGAACATGGTTTGGAGTATACACATCACTTGGCTAAATTAAGATTCCAATTGTAAAAGGAAATAAACTGATTTGTATGGCAGGAAACCTAAAATAAGATTACTAATAATGTTCAATAGCAGAAAATAGGGAATATGTAATGCATAGTTGATACCCAGCATTTTAAAGCATGGCAGTAGTTTGGATGTTGATCATAAGTTGCAGCCGTATAAATATTTAGCAAGAGACGATTTTGGATCTTTTAACCTTATTTTTAAAATGTACAGGATTGTACCATCAGAACCTATAATAGTCTGGCATTGCAGGGTAATTTTCACACAGAATAGAAAAAATGTTACTTTATAGTCAAAGGTAAACCCTAAAGAAACTGTTAGAATAAGGGTTCTTAGCTATCAAAGTGGACAATCCAGGGAAAAATTGGCTTTTTTCTGGGATGTAATGTGCATGAAATGAAACCACCTGGTAGAGTTCATTTTGCATTGTGTTAAAGGATGGATCCAAGTATCTGTAGCCAACAAAAGCAAAATATAGACGAAAACAAGACACAAGCATGGTTAAGAGCTTTAAATCACACAGTACTGAAGCCCAAACAGTAGTTGCTTTTTCTCAAGTACCAGGATAATTTTGAACTTAAAAGCTTAATCAGATTGTTAAGTGTCCTTGAATGAAGGACTGCATGAGAATCTAGGCTGTGGCCAGATATTTCATATCATTTGTTTCCTTAACATCTGCCAGGAAAATTGCACATTTTTTCCATTTGAGGTATCTTTCATGGAAACCTGTAAATGAAATCTAGGAAATGTGGCAGAAAACAGAGAAATTCCTTTTGATGCACATGGATGCCCGTGTCTTTTTTTTCTTCTTTTGGCACAGATTCTTAGCATATGGTGCCCTCATTTTTCAGTTTGCTTTTGCTGGCTTTTAGCCACATGGCTGCAACAGAATAACTGTGTGCAAATAAAAATTAGCAGCCTTTAATATGCCTCAACAAGTGCATGCACAGAATCTGCACCCCAAATTCTACAATGCAGCCCTGACATTAATCTGGTTTAATATTTGGCCATTTTTAATATTCAGATGAACAGGATGACTGGAAAAATCTAAGCACTTACTCCTGGTAACAATCACAGATGCAATTTACAAATGGAATGGGGGAAGGAAAGGAACCGAGCAAACAAAAATCTGAGGATTTCATTCAACTGTGATAAAGTACTTTCATCTACATAGCTATCAGAAAAGTATATAGCTCTACACACTATGTACATTTATTGTACAGTTGTCTAAACATTGCCAAAAAGATTTTAGTAAAAGAGCAGTTAACTAAACCATTTCAATTTCCATTTCTGTAAGGAACAATAATTTTTCTCTTAATTTCACTGGCTAAGTGAACATTTTACAATAATCTCCATGGTATCTGTTTACTTCAGTATTTACACTTCAGAAAGCAAGTTGGCATTTTTTAAAACAATGCATTACAATCCAGCCAAAATCACATAAAAATCATGTTATTTCAATGGAATTGTACAGCAATTCCAAGCGTTCTTTCTTAAAGCATTCTTACATTGTGCTTCAAGCAAAATTCCCAGAATGCCAGAATGGCTTATATATGATCAATAAAAAACAAGTTAATCCTGCCTGCAGGTTTACAGTCTGAATCTTGCTTATAAGTGCTTGGCTGGAACAGATACATTTTAAAAAAATAGATGATAGACATCTATCTCTAATTCCTCCATATCCCCCGTCTTTCTTTTAGCCCAAACCCAAACTGAATAGTTTAGAAATCAATTCTATTTAAAATGCAAATGGAAAAAACTTCAAACTTACCTATTATTAAGAGAGCTTGAAGAATCTAAATCCCTGAAATTGTCTAAGCTTTCAACTGTATCTGGCTTTTCATTTATTGAAAAAATATATCTATACATCCTTCTTTTTATTTTTAAGTACCTAAGGCTTAGAAATCTTTGATTCTTTGTATTTTCACTGCATAAATAGGAAGAAAGAAAATAAGACTCAGTGGGGTTAGAATCTATTAAGAAAGTCCTACGCAAACCCCAATGAACTGAATACTTCTGCATTTTTTTGTATTTTTCATTCATTAGAGTCAAATAGATCTGAGTCAAGATTAAATCCAAACTCTTAAGATTTGATATACTGTATTTTAAAAACAGTAAAGACAATCTAGTTTAGACAGATCAGCCATGTTACTGAATTTTGGTGGAACATAACCACCTTAGAGGATCTAGTAAATTACAATTGCAGAATATTTTTTTATTGTAACTGGATAGTATCCACTCAGTACACTACTATGTACAGAGCTGTTGTTTAGCCATGCAGTCCAGACTAATCATGCAGTACATTAGGATCTGTAGTCCTTTTTGCAGAAAGGTTTGTTCCCCAAAATGTTATCTATTTCATTCACAATGTGAGTTGTCATCTTTGGAAGAACCTGTAGGCAAAGAAATACACATGTACTTTAACTAGTGTTGCTCTGTGATTTTGAAACACAGATTAATTGCAAAGAAGCCAAGAAAAATTGAATTCTGTAATGCCTTTAATCTCCATATGATGGTCATTTGTTCAATCCACAGAATTTGAAGCGCAAATACTTTGGCTACCAAATGACTCATTGGAAATGGCCCTGATGTTGAGAAAGATTGAAGGCAAAAGGAGACAGGGATAACAGAAGATGAGATGGTTAGATAATGTCATTGACTCAATTAACATGAATTTGGGCAAACTGCAGGGCAATGGAGAATGGGGGGCAGGCATACTATGGTCCATGAGGATCACAGAGAGTCAGACATGACTTAGTGACTGAACAACACCAACTAATCCCAAAGAAAGCCTTTGTACTTACCTGTATGGCACCAAGATTTTCTATCAGTTGCTCAGCATTGGATGATCCAAGGAGAACAGAACTCACACCTTCATTGCGAAGACACCATGCTGGGAACATGGGAAATACACAATAAGAGTGTCAGTGCTCCAACAAATCCACCCCCATTCAAATCATAAGTCTCTAGCCGCATCTCTCAGAGTAAAAAAAAAAAAAAGATTTATTAGGCGTGGCCATGTTGGCGTTAGCTGGGTGCAGCCGATACTAAAATACATCATTCATTTCCTCCTTGACCCTGGTCTTTCCCCCACCTCCTGGATGTATATTCTCCAATGGGACACATCCATAGCCAAGAGTCATCAGTCATGCTCTCCAGTAATATTCTTGTGCAGCAACAGCTTTGAGCTGCCAAGGTGATTATCTGATGCATTTAAGGAATGCACTGCTTCCCCCCCACTCCCTTTCTGCTGGCAACTAAAAAGACCAAAGGAGTATTTTTTAGTTGACATAGAGCATGTATTTGGTATAGCATTTTGGAGTCAGCAAAGGTAACATTAAATTGGAAGACTTAATTCTGGAAATTAGAAGGCCTTTCCTCACACCATTATTATTTTAGTGAAACACTTCTCAACTGCCTTTCAAAATTTCAGTCTTTCCACAGGTCAGTTCCCTATCATTTCAATAAGTTTGTAAAATAAGCTTGTCCTTCTACTGTGTTTCTCACAAAATAAGGCCGGGCCTTATATTTTTTGGACCCCCGAAAAAACGGCTAGGCTGTCTTTTTTGGGGTGACTTAATTCCCCCCCCCTTGCATCCTCGGACGGGCGGGAGGCGACGGCTTGGATGTTGACCTCGGCGTTGGTAGGGCACTTCGTATTGAGAGACCTTCTGCTACCGTTGCTTTCCCTTTTCCCCATGCTGTTGCGGTGTTTAGAGCAACGCCGTGGTGTTTGGCGCAGCCACGTGCAGCCAGCCAGGGCTTCTCCCTACAACTGGAGCCTGGCGGAGACACTCGGCTTCAGGCGCTCCTGTCGCCGCCTTCCCTTCGCCTTCGAAGGCAAAGCCAATTCTTTTAAAAACAACACCCTACTACCAGTACAACAAAGCCTCCCCTGCCCAAGAGGGCAGCCCAACCCCACATGGCGAGGCGAATCTCCTGGGGCCGCAGCGCAGGATTGGCCCACCCCGGGAGAAGCACCCAGCCACCATCCCTGCTGGCGCCAGGCAGAGCGTGAAGAGCTTCACCTGGGGCGCCCCGCAAAGCTGACTGGTGGGCCCTCCTGCCCGGCAGTGGAGCTTTCACCAAGACAGTGAGTGCCTCCCTGCCGGGCCTTCCACTCATCCTGCCAGGGCCGTGCCAGAGCTGTGCGGGCTGGGCAGAGCCGGGAAAGCGAGCCATGGGTGTGCCTGCCAAGCAAAAGAGCCAGGCCAACCCGAGCTTGGCTTCCTTCCCAAGTGCCTCCAGCCCGAACCTGAAGGGCCACCGGGAGAGGCCGCCTGAGGCAGTGATAGCGCCCACTCATCTGTGGACAGGGAGGCAAGGCGACGGCCTGCGCCTCATTCTCCTCTGAGCTGAGCCCCGCCAAGTGAGCACCTTTGCCCAATGCCCATGCTGCTGCAGCGTTTGGAGCTGCTGGCACATTTGGAGATGCGTGGGGATGGGGACGGGCTAGGCGAGGGGTGGAAAGGACAGGCGGCTTCGGGCTCTCTCCGCCAGACCTGCTGGCCAGGGAAGCAGCGCTGCCATCCCCTTGTCTCCCTGTCTGCGGACGGATGGGCACAATCACTGCCTTGGGCAGCCTCTCCCACTGGCCCCTTTGGCTTCGGGCTGGAGGGACCTGGGATGGAAGTCAAGCTTGAGTCGTCCCGGCTCTTTCGCTTGGCAGGCAGGCATGCACCTGCGGCTTGCTTTCCTGGCTCTGCCCAGCCCGCACGGCTCTAGCGCGGCCCTGGCAGGATGAGCGGAGGGTCCGACAGGGAGGCACTCGCTGCCTTGGCGAGAGCTCCACTGCCAGGCAGGAGGGCCCGCCTGTCAGCTGCGTTGGGCGTCCCAGGCATAGCTCTGTCCGCTCTGCCCGGCGCCAGGCAGGGATGGCGGCTGGGCGCTTCTCCCGGGGTGGGCCGATCCTGCACTGTGGCCCCGGGAGCTTTGCCTCCCCATGTGGGGTTGGACTGCCCTCTCGGGCAGGGGAGGCTTTGTCATACCGGTAGTAGGGCGTCATTTTTAAAAGAATTGAATTTGCCTTCGAAGGCGAAGGGAAGGCGGTGACAGGAGCGCCTGAAGCCGAGTGTCTCCGCCAGGCTCCGGTTGCAGGGAGGAGCCCTGGCTGGCTGTGTGTGGCTGCGCCAAATGCCGGCAGCACAGGGAGAAGGGAAAGCAATGGTGGCGGAAGGTCTCCCAATACGAAGTGCCCCACCAACGCCGAAGTCAACGCAGGCAGCACCATATGCGGGTATGCAACAAAAGTACTTCCTGACGGCAAGGCCCCCCTGGCCATTCCCCCCCATTTCGCATGTTTAATATAGGCCTTAATTTGGGGGGGGAGGGGCTTAATTTGATTTTATGCCTATAAAACATGCTGGGACTTCCTATTGGGGGAGGCCGTATTGTTGGATTAACATGGTACATGAGAACAAGCTCATAATGTCAACACAGCTAAGTATCACTGAGCACAGAGATAAAAAATAATTAGGAACTGGGGATGGGGTGGGGGCGAATCCCCAAATCCCTTACCGACTGCTAGCTGAGGTAGTGTACATCCAAGGCGTTCAGCAATTGGGAAAAGTTCTTTCAGCTTTGATTGTTGCATTCTTCCTTCCTCAGTCACAATTTTCTCCTTTAGCCACTGATAGCACTAGCAAATCAAAACACAATAAAAAAAACAATTTAAGTCCACGTCTGAATTTCAACTCCCAGAATTTCTACCTTGTTGCCACACTAGCTGAGAATTATATATAATGATGTTCAGCACATATAAGGGGCACCACATTGGAGAAGTCTGGTTTATATCAGCCCTTAATCTCTCACCTTCGTTTTGCTCATCACTGTTATTTCAAAGTTTTATCAGAAAATGTACTGTGTGTACTATACATACACAAGCTTTATCAGAAAATGTATGTATTATACTATATTTCCACAGAGGTTACTGAATGAAGTCACTTTCTGGCTCTTTCAACATACTGAATCAATACATTTACCAATCAATCTTGATTTACACTCACACAGAAAAAGAACAATAGTTATTATTAAGCAAAGTTTGCATGTTTGTGAGCATGTTGCTATTGTACAGAACAAAAATAGGAAATTTATGATCTTCCAGATGTTGAAGGCAATTCCCAATAGCTCTAACCAATTTGGCTAATGGTGGGGGTTGCTGAAAACTGTAGTTCTACATTCAGAAAGACTCAGATGTTTTAATCATAGTTTGATTTTTCACTGATATCATTAGTAAAGGAAGTTATATTACACTAATGGCCAAAATTGTGGAAACCTTTTGGAGAAATGTCTCTTTATGTATTTTATGCAATCACTACCAAACAGAGAGTTCTTGGTCTCATCACTCCAAATAACACTGTCCCATTGTTCCTCTGTCTAGATAACATGGGTTTTAGCCCAGTTTACTCTTTTCAATCTTTGTTTGAGAGATAAATGTGGCTTTTTTCATGGAATTCTAGATTTTAGGCCAAATTCCTGCAGTCTGCGCCAAACGGTCCTTGCCCTCAACTTCGCATTGCATTGCATCTTGTATATACCCAGATTATTTTCTTCTGTCATGTAGGCACAGTCTCTTAATTCTTCTATCACTTGCTGTTGTGCACCTTTTCCTGCCTTTACCAGTGTGGTTTTGTAGTGACTGAGTCTCCTTATACCTCTTCAAAAACTTAGAAATGCCACCTTTGGTTAAGTTTCCACCAATTTTTCTTCTAATTTCTTTATAACTGTAGCCTTCTTCACTTAATACTATTTTACGTCACTTTCTGGGTGAACAGTCAACTCTTTGCACCATTACTTTAATGTTATTATGTTTTACAAGCTCACTTAATGAAAGAACACAAAAAATCCAATCAACTTGATAGCGATCACATAACACAGACAAATGTCCCCCTCTCAGCTTCAATTCATGACAACAATAAATGAATCCTACTGTGATCTGATTGGCTCACTGCCAAAACAAGATGACACCTGATTGGCTCTCTAAACACTCACGCTCATTGGCTACAATCAGATGAAGTAAAGCTACCTGATATCAATTTAAGCAAGTTGTGCTTCCTTCTTCTGATTATTTGGCTATACCTTTTCATAGAATACAGATAATTGAACAAACCTTGTTGCATTATATTCTTGATTAAGTTATCTTTCCATTGATATATAATTTCATGGTACTACTCTAAAAAAAAAGTGGTGTTATTAGCAGGGGTGGGATTCAAAATTTTTAACAACTGGTTCTGTGGGCGTGGCTAAGTGGGCATGGCTAGATGAGTGTGGCCATTTGGCTGGGTGGGTGTGGCTTCTTTTTTTGCAACACCCCCCCCCCAAGTTTTGCCTTCTGGGCCTCAGGGAAGCCTCCTGGGGGTCATTTTTGCTCCCATGAGGCTTCCCTGGAGCCCAGCACCCCCTGGGCTCCATTTTTGGGCCTCCTGGGCCTCAGAGAAACTTCCTAGGGGGTGTTTTTGCTCCCAGGAGGTTTGCCTGAGACGCAGGAAGGCAAAAAATGGAGCACAGGGGCTGCCTCCTGGGCCTCAGAGGCGCCTCCTGGGTGAAGCAGTAAGACAGCGAGGGGGATCCTGCCACAGCTGATCATTGGAACACTGATCCTTGGGAGGGGAGTGACTGGGAGGGGGAAATGTGGTCAGTGATGTTGGGCATGCGCGCAATGTCACGCATGCGCGATAAGAACTGACTGGGTAGGAACGGGAGGGGAAGGTGGAGGAGGCGGGGCCAGCCAGGGCACAATTTGCCAGTTCTCCGAACAGCGCAGGATCATAACAACCGGCTCTATAGAAGCAGTCCGAACCAGTAGGATCCCACCCCTGGTTATTAGCCATCAAACCTCAAAAATACACTTTTCCCCAAAGGTTTGCACAATTTTAGCCACATACAATGACTAGCAATCACGAATAAAATTGTTCTAACAAGAATGGTTGGAGGATGTGAGGTAAGTTTAAGTCACATACTTAATCTGAGCTAAGCACAACAAAACCATTTTTCTATTAATCTCTTGTGTGGAGCAGCCTATCTGACTTAAACAACAAGCTGGGAAGCTGTAAAGACTGCTTTTGAATATACCACAATAACTGTCATGCATTGGGTCATTTAAAATAGCAATTTTTACATTTTTTACATTGTTGCCAAGAAAATTGTCTAGACATGGGCAAAATATCTAGACAAGTCTGTATGTCAACTGACAAGATTTCCAGGTTCGAAGGCATGTCTTTACTTGGGGGAAATGTTGAACTTTCACAACTCAAAGTGATGATGTGGTCAGACTAAAGCCAGAAGAATCTGGTCACTGATAGTGCCAGTTCTAAAACAGGAGTTCTTTGTTTACAATTACACATAAGTACTTGTAAAAATACAGATAGTTGGATGAGAGAATTTTTTAAAAAGCAAAAATGAAAACAGGGATGAAGTATATTGAGTTGGAATATTCTATGAATGGGTGAATGGCCTGAAGTAAGCCACTTTATATCAGTTGATTAGATGATTCAGACATGACACAAATGTGAAAAAATGGAGTGGCAATAATATTTTTTAAAAAATACTGTGACGTATGAGCTCAGCTATAATCCAATAAATGATAGGATGTTATCTAATAGAATTAAATGGCTACCCGTCGACATTAATCTTAGACTGATACATGCATTTAATGTGATCCAGTGATTGAAGAGCCTGAGAAATTCTATTGGAAAAAGCAAAATGTTAAACTGCAACATCTAGAAACAACACAGTGCCATGAATGGATGTTTAGAATGCAAAAACTCGCAAAAGATCCTGGAAATACAGTCAGAGTCTTATTGAATAAATTTTGCTGGTCATTGACTGAATAAATATTATAGATTGACTGATTGATTGACTGAATAAATGCAATAATACAGGTGAGATGGGCAGAGTTTTGCAAAGAAAATCTGTTTATTGTTGACTCTTACTTCAAGCAACATAAACTCTTCAAACAGACATCACCAAATGAACCGTATTGGAATAAACCTAGCTATATATTAATAAATAGAAGACAGAGAAGTGAAATCCAGCCAACCAGGATATTTTCTGATTCAGATTATGGAGAGATCATGATTACTAGATCAAAATATAAGGATGAAAGTTAAAAGTTCAAAGAGAAGCCATCTTGTCAGAATATAAAAACAATGTAAGGAACAGATTCAGTTTTCATATGTGAAATCTGATGGGAAAAGAAACCAAGAGATGAAATAAGAGACAATGGGAAAGCTGAGGTTTCTTCTAGAGACCAGGATACCTATTGTCCCTTGTATCCTATATTGTCATATATTTGTTTATAGTAAGTAGAAAGCATGGTTCTGGGGACAAAAGTAGTTAGGGACTCAGGTGAAGCTCTTGTGAGGCAGGTTGCCCAGGTAGCTTTGGGACAAATACCTTCAAGGATGCTCTTGATCCATCAGGGACTCCACTGGCATATTTTCCTGAGATAATTCCACAAGCAAGTGGAGACCAAGTCATTGCTCCAACTCCTACAAAATAACCAATGCATGAAGAAACATTTAAATTAACACAAACCATTTAAAAAAACCCAAACAATAAAAGTCCACCCCCCCAAATTTATCTAAGAACAGTTACAGCACTTTGAGACTTAGAAAATGTTCAATCAGGAAAGAGGTTAGGCATTTTTCAAAGTAATGCAAAATATATAAAATGAATATGGTTTTATCCCACTTGGATCCAAGCCCCAATCCCATGTGGGGAACCTCAAAGACCAGAATAAAGCTGTTGTGCAATTCACTGAATTCAATTCATTATCTCAATGAAGAGAAATGCCAGTCCTCTCACAAATTTAGGATTGCACCCAGTTTGATCTAATGATTAAGGCACCAATCTAGGAACCAGGAGATGTGAGTGCTATTCCTGTCTTAGGCATGAAAGTTGACTAGGTGATTTTGAGCCAATCACTCTTTGCAACAGCGGCTAATAACTGTTGCTTGGGTGTAGGATGAGGGTGAATGTTTTCCGAGCTTGTGGGTTGGTTTCTAAACGTTTTGTTATCAGGGTAGGCATATCTTCAAGGGAGTTTAGGGGATGTCAGTATTCTTCTATTGACTCGTGACTCATAGCTCACCCATCACAAGACCTTCACTTGACAAACCCACACCTGAAATCCTTATAAACAGAAGAACACTGACACTGACATCCTCTAAACTCCACTGAAGATGTTACCTCGCCTAGTAACAAAACATTCGGAAACCAACCCACAAGCTTGGAGAACGAACCTTCACCCTCATCCTACACCCAAGCAGTGAACGAACTTACACCCTCAATCACTCTTTCTCAGCCAATTCACTTCATAGTCTTGTTACTGTGGGGAAAATAGGAAGAGGAAGGAACATTAGGTTTGAGTTATTTATAAAAGTAATACAGGCGGGATTAAAAAAATTCTAATCTTAGCCCTTTAAGGAGTGAGAAAATGAACACCTGTAGTTCTGATATATGATAGAAAAAAGCTGCGGCAATCGTGAAGAAGTGCTGTCAGTTCCTTCTTTGTGTAGGGATAATTTTTCTAGGCAAAGATTTATATACCTGTGATAATGATTAAACAGTAGGGGACAAGCACTGTCTCTGAGTATACACTTTGGACATAAAAAGGATTAATTTCTCAATCTTTTATGAAAGTGGCTGCCTTGGTACATTACCTATCTTGTGGTATAATTCCGGCAACTGAACCTCAACTTTGTCTCTTTGGAAAAGGTGATATTCTGCTTGTTCACATACTGGTGGGATCATATTAAACTGTCTTGCTACTGAATATGCTTCCTGTTGAGAATCAGCAACAAAAGAAAAATACATTAGAAGGGAAAATTCCTCAGGCATAAAATCATACATCAATAAAAGCCACTGTTTTTCATTCCTTGTTCAGGCATATTTATTAAAGATCTGACACTCGATTTACTTGGTGAATACATTAAAAATATTTTGAACAATGAAAAAAGCACAGCTCTGAATGATCTGATAGGGTTTTTTAAAAATTGTAAAAAATCCCTGCAGATAGCATTCTCTCATGGGTGACAAAACAACATTTGCAAAAATTTGTGCGCATTAAGGACAAAAGCACATTATATGGACAATTATATACAGTAGCTGCCATGAACGCACTATGGAAATGATAAATTAAAAAGCTACATTTTAAAAAGCAAGTGTAGCTTCAGTTGCTGGCTAACTGTGTATGAAACAGCTCTTGAATTACAAAATAATTATAGGAACATACAAATGAAGGAAGAAGAACGCACGAAGAAGATTTAGGTCTGTCAAATTAATCGTGCATCTCACTGATGCATTGTTAATCCCTATAAGCAGATGCCCTGCTGGTCATTCTTCTGGCTTTGGGGAACAGAGGAAGAATTGTAGAACGAGTCAACATTTGGTCCAATTCCAATGTTTCTACAATTTATTCAAAAGTGATAACATAGGAGATGTAGGTACTAATGTTTGTATATTTTGATGTTTTCCTACAATGAAAATACAAGAGGAAAATATTTGATGGCAACATCATGTACATGGCTCAAAAAAGTCAGACCATAGAAGCACAGCTATTTCATGCCAGACTATTCTTGATGTTTAATTAAATGTGAATTAATTGATTATTGTTCATTCCTAAAAAGCTAAATTACCATAATCTCCATGGCACTCCAGCGCGAAGTCCCCCAATACATTGTCATTCCCCGGTCAATCACATATGTCATTGCTCGGACAATCTCTAAATCAGGAAAAAGGTAGAATTATACAACAGATGCTAATAGATAACAGCCTATTTCAAAAGCCAATATATTCAACTTAGTCAAGAGAAATGGAGTGCATATGATGCTAACCCAGCCTTTGTCCATTACTAGCATCTTTCACGTTGATGGAGAAAATCTGTAGAGAAATACTGAATACATTTAGATGAAGTAGGTTACAGTGCTGTACACAGCCACAAATTTGATCACAAGGCCTATTAGATTTTCTTCAGATCTTGCCCACGAAAATAATGGGGTAAGACTATGAGTG